GTGTGATGGTGCTGTTTTGGGTTCTTTGATGAACCCTTCATCAGTCGGAATAGTACTTGACCGAATCGTTCGATTTATTTTGCTTTCAGAATGTTCGACGTTATTACTTTCATCATACAATTTCGTTAAAATGGAAAGTAGTTCTTCGTCGTGTGGTGTGTAGTTTTTCACGAGTTTGTCAGTATGTAGAGTAGAACATGTAAGTTTATCTTTCACGTCAGTATTTCTACGAAATGTAATAAGGGGAAGATTTGGAAAAATGTTACTAAGTAACCGATCATTCCGAATTAAGTCCCAATTTTTTAATAGGGCTCTTTTGAGATTAGACCCTTGTATATAAGGGTTGAATCTAGTTGTGAATATATTTCTGATATCATTATCACATAATTTTTCAATAAATAGATTACGTTTATGTAAGAAATCGCTCACACTATTACATGTTCTAGCTACCGAATGGTTTCGCCTTTAATAAATCCTTTGAATACTGATGTAGGGTGACAAGAATTACGTTTCAAATATTGAACGTTTCCGTTGTCTTGATGTGCGTTTTCACGTCTAATATATTCAGATCATGGAAGCGTTGTCCTTTCTATAGGTTAAGGTACGTGACTTGTGTCATGGAGTATTCAAATGGAGCCGGTATTTGTTATGAAGCATATTAGCTTCCTGAACAAATTTGTGTAATTCAGGTATGGTACCTTTGAATACCATGAAGATGTCATCTTGAAAACGATACCAAGTTTTAATATATCGAGCACCAAGTAGTAAAATTCGATTTTCCAGTAGGTGAAATGTAATGTCAGCAATCTCAGATGAAAATGGTGATCCCATGCTAACTCCACATGTTTGGGTATAATATTCATTATTAAACTCGAATGTGTTTCTTTTCAGAATTAGTTCAAGGAGTTTAATTATATATTTCAATCATTGTGATTGTAATTCGATTGCATTGCATTAGCGGTTACTCGGATCGCTTCTTCCTGAACAGTATTAGTATACATTGATGCGACATCCATGGTTACTAGAACGTTATTTTCAGATACTTGTATTTTGTCGATTTTGTTATTACATCTTTGATGTGTGTATGTTGTCGTTTAACGATTGGAATTAAAAAGTGGTCAATCAGTTCTGATTATTGGTCTACCGACGAATATATTGCCCTCTGGTTTGTGTACTTTAGGCAGTAAATACCACCGGGGCGTTCTAACTTTGTGTTCAATGGGTCTGTATATTTATACGTGTCGTAATCGATTAATTCCAGATTGTACATTTCTGTAACGAGCTCATGGACCAAATTAGTTGTAACTATGGTATCGTTACCACTAATTTTAGTATAGTATTGCTCGTTGTTTAGTTGACGAAGGCTTTCATATATATAGTCTGTTGTATTCATGATTGCAATGCCACGACCTTTGTCGATTTTTTCTTTACAATTGTGTTATCATGATGTAGTCTATTTATTGCTGCTCTTTCGGCAAAATTCATGTTTTGTTTGTGTTTATTGGTAGTAATTTTGGATATCTCAACTTTGATTGCCTCAATGTAATTTTCGAGGCTACTGTCTGGTGGGTTCCATGTTGATTTCATTTTGAAAAGATGTTGTTGAGATTGGTTATTTATCTAAATTTGGGACCAACTGAGCTTGTTCAGCCAACCGTTTTTTTTTTAGCCAGTTTCGCATTGTAATTTTATATTCGTTTGCATCTTGCAATGTGTTTCTTACGTAAGAAGTGTATATTGCAATTTCTGTTATTGATTGTATGGACAGAGTTCATAGTAATAATGGTAGTATACTTTTGGGAGGATGTGGTGGCCCTGAAAAGGGCCATTTGGTTTTTGTGCCAAAGCACTTGTTTATGTAGGGCTAGAAGTGCGTTTCCTGCCCTCTACAAGCCTGGTTTGGAAGATCGTGGTTTGGAAGAGAGAAGACATCCAGGAGGTGGACTGATAGCAAAACCGATTTATGATTAAAGCGGGCTATTATACAAGTCATCTACTTTACTAAAGCGGGGGAGTCGTCACCTACACATGCGTCAGATGACCATAGTGTGTCATTTACAAACAAGCATGAGCCTTTGCGTTTTTATCGTCGCTTGGAACTCAAATCCCGCTCGTGCGCAGGTGACGACCCTGCCGCTTTAAAATACTGAAAAATAAATAAAAACAACTGTTGAGTGCAAAAAAAATCAGAGACAATATCTGCTGAAAAAAAATCCATCTCAGATAGGGGAAAAAGTAGGCTTCATTTCAATCCTCGTTCTCCCCCCCCCCCTCTCCCCAGGATATCAAATGGGCCGCCCCTTATTACATTCATTAATTGCCATATTGATACCTACATTTCTGGACCACCGGTAACACTTGTTTTGTGATCAATATCTTTCCAATCAATAGTATCCAGTATCTCCCGTGGAGCGATTCCAAATAACAAACCTTTATCGAATGCTTTCTTCAGTAATATTAATAATTGTGATCCTTCTTTATTGTTCGGCAGATAGGCTGTGAATAACTCGCCTTTATATTTCATTCCGGGATGGGGATGACCTTCCTAATAATAATAAAAATAAACTTGTGGCAAAATTAATATGCACCTGTACACACAGATGAAAGCCATATGCGTTGTAACAAGATGCCCAATATTTCAACCATGAGCAGATAAACGTGGCCATTTCTTAACATTAGAAAGCGCTGCCATCGAAATATAGACATAACGATTAATAGCAAAACACGAAGACGAGTATTGATAACATGTGTATTACATAATGCGGTGACACTCGATATACACGTTTACTCTGCCTCGGTTGTAACAACGAACCCTCCCAATCCCTAGCAAATCATACATTCAATGCTTAATTCAAGATGAATGGTCAACTTACCGCCTGTACGCCTTCGTTAAATGTATATTTGATAACAGTTGTTGTAAATTTATCATATTCTGGAATGTGAATAGTCTTATCTATGGATGACGTCATTTTCCCCTTGGGTTGTTTACCTTGAGTAGGTTTGTACTCCTTCTCACAAATCAGGCATTTCAGCTCACCGCGAACTTTTACCATGCATTCACGGCATAATTTATGTTTGCACGTTGGTAACTCAATAGGATCTTGAAATGGTTTTTTGCATCCTTTACATGTCTTACCGTCATCCTTTTCCTTTTCTTTTGATTTATCAACATCCTCGGTTTTCTTCCACGAGTGTCCCTTTGGCCGCCCACTTTTGTCTCGGTCGCTCTTACTTTCCTTATCACCACCATCCGCTTCCCCTGGAGCCTTTGAGCCTTTGTTTTCACCTTTGTCTTTTTCTTTCTCACCATCATCAGCAGCAGCATTTGCAGATTTATCTCCTTTTGTACTTTTATCAGAAGATGGTAGTTTACTTCCACCTGCTCGGTAGTTGTCCAGCATGTCCTTTCTCTCCTGTGAATCAATGTCAATGTTCTTAGATTGCAGTCGAATCCTCTTCCGGTCTCCATCTGTAGACCTCCTTGACAGTTGCTCTATTTGCTTGTCTATTTCCGCTCGCATGACTGGGTGGACACCTTTGTAAGAATGTACGCCAAGAGCAAATTGTTTGTTGAAAATATTCGTGAACTTATTTGCAAGTTCGGCATCATCTGACACAAGACGAATGTCTCTAACTGATGTTTTAGGGTTACGCTTCAAAAAGCTAACGACTGCAGTACATGCGATTTCTCCACCAAGTTGGCGTGGGAATCCTAACAGTCCTGTGGGAGACAATACATTGGAAAAAAATAGGAAAAACATACAAATAGACAAATAAATGAGTGAGCTGAGTTGAGTAAGCAGGTAACTAAGTGTAACTAAGTGTAAATAAATAAATAAATAAATAAATAAATAAATAAATAAATAAGAGTAATTATGTAATCTTTTTGGAATCCACCATTAACCGTTATCTTTGTAGCTCTATCATTACCTAATATCATATTGTATTCATCACATTACAATGGCGGCGGCACAGAAGGCGGGAGCGGGCAGTTGCCCCTCAAATAAAATTTGGGGGGCGTCGCTCCTCCAATATCTTTGTATCAGCAAAATTTGCCCCTCAAAATGCATAAAATAGAGTTTTCGAGGCTCTAGATTTCAAAATGTTTAAGGAGAAATATGCCCCGGACCCCCTAGTAAGGTCACGCCCTAGTAAGATATCGCCCCTCCATGCAAAATGTTATGCTGCCACCTCTGCATTATGTTGATTTACATTTGATTAAATACCTTACCTGTACCAAGTGGAGGAATTGCTATGGAAATAGCAGCGTATTTGTGTGTAGTTTCCAGTATATTTCTATAGGTATCAGACAGGAAATTACTACTCCATTCAGGGTTAGCCTCAGACCAACGTGGGCAAACTGCGTGCAAGATCAGAGTCGTGGGTAATTTTCCTGCTGACGTGGCAGTAACATGTGATGTCCTCAATTGACCATGTCTCTTAGAATATGCGTCAATTTCCTTTCGTACATCGGGTCCAGCTTCTTTGACGATAGCCACAGCTATATCACAACTTGGTTTCATTTGTTCATTTACAGGACAAACTATAGCGTCCACTGTCTCATCTAGGATATTCCCGTCGTATATTCGAATTTGGATTTCCCGGCTGCCAAGAATATAGGATCGCCTGAAATTATCATCACCAGAATGCATTATCTTCCCTCTTAGTGTTTCCTCTCGTAACTCATGTATTGGGTCTTCCAGCTCAGGTGGAGGGGGTGATGTGTGTTCTGTTGCTACTTTGGCAACTGGTGCTTTCCTCGGGACTGGTTTGTTATGCTCATCGAAGGCTTTGATATGTGTTCCCCATCTGGCTGCAAAGAATTGTCTCGCATCGCGAGTTTCGTTTTTGCTAATTCCATGAAACGTGGCATAGCCTGGTTTACCCTTGTTCACCATGACACTTGGATATTTTTTCTCACAGTCCTGCTTTGAAAAAACAAATCCTCTGTCTGTCATATCCTCTGGTAGCTTAAGAACATCAATACTGTGTTTTGCTTTGATATCTCTGTATAGTTTCTTAAACGACGCAATAGCTCTCATCACGTTTTGTGTATCCCAAGTGTTTTGTTCATCAAGGAAACTGACGTGCGTGTTGCCTTTGAATACCACCTGCACGTCGTATTTAGCTTCTATCTCTTCCACACTGTCTTTCATACAACGATCGATGTAGTCTCGCAAAGTTTCATCCATTTTCAATGTGTTGCCGTGTGAAGACTGCTGGTATATGACATTATGAAGAGCATAGCTCTGTAACAGTAGATTACCATATCCAGGAGTTGGGGGTGTCGGTGGTATTGTTGGCCCAGAAGATATGGTTGAGCCGGAAATGGTGTCATCATCCAGAGTGTCACCATCAGAGGTTCTTTTCCCAACCAGAGATCGTTTAACTAGTTCCTCAGCACGACGAAGTTGACTCATTGTTCCACTGACTCTTAAGACACCATCATTCGACTTCTGAACCTTAATGCCTGATTTATAGAGAATTTCGTCTTCTTTGTTGTCCAAAACGCTGCTCAACCTTGGACTGAGGGTACCTTCCACATCCACAAAAACTTGCTAAATAAGGTGATTAATATTTAATTAATTATTAATATTGGTTACATCTGGGGTATTTAAAAATCTGAATCAGCTTCCAGACTGTTGACACAAATTTCACACACCTGTTAAGATGCCGTTGATATTATAGATTATTATGTATAATGATACATTTTTATTTCTATAATATTATCTTTTTACATGTGATGAGCTGATCGTCGTCAATAACATCTATTTCGGTTCTATCCGTGTTGTTCAATAACATGCTGAGTAATTGTTGTTGGGGAAAACTAAATTAATACTAGTTTAACTTAAATGTATAATTGTTTGAATGAGATACTGAGTCTTTTTCCGTAATTAATTAATGAATAAATAATAATAACATGAATTGTGGTAATAAGACCTTTTTAACTATAAGCTGATTGTCGGGTACCTTTATATGATTATATATATATATATATATATTGCAACCCAAGTTGCAGTTATGAACGCAATTTGAAAAGCTATTTGGTTATATGCAGTAGTATTATCATACATTAAGATTTATTTTAAAATTACTATTACTAAATGCAATTATATATTCGTTGAGTGTCACAACTAACAAACTGGACTGAAAGCACTAGTAAGCTATGTTGGCAGGTCAGTTTCTTCTGTTGGATCTTTAATTACTTTTGCAATTAAGTCTCTACCACATTGCATTATTATATATTTGCATTATTATAGGTTCTGTGCATGCAGGTATATACAGTTTTTTTTTCTGTTTTGGGGCACCCCTCTAAATACACCTATAAGTGTGCACACCATCGTAATAAATCCCATGTGCAACCATAACGTTGTGAGGAATACACCCATGCCAATAAAAATCTGGTAGTAATGAATGTGACATGGCCAGTGCTAGTAAAATCTTACCTGTGATGCTGTGGTAGTTGGTCGACTATCGAGGAATATGCTGGAATGGCGGCTCGATCTGCCAGACTTCCATTGTAATAAACATGAAAACAAAAAATATACACGAAGTATCATCATTACATTTATTCATAATGCATTTTACTTTAGTTGAAATATATAGTAAATTCATCCAACATAGTGGCGCTTTACATCAATATGATACAACAAAAAACTACCATTTTATATATAAATTCATGAAATAAATTATGAGACAGTTGGGAACTTACCTTGGCTGACGTGGTCTCGTCTTTAACAGAATGTATCGATTGTTTGGATACACTTCTGGGAGTACTTTTTTGAGATGCATGTTCTTGCTTGGTATCTGGTGTAGTAGTTTTTTGAGAATGTGGTGATTGAGATCGTGTAGGTGATGGTATTGGTTTCGATTCAAGCAAAGTAGTATGTGATGTATTTTTTTGAGAGTGTGGAGTTTGGGGATGTATTGGAGATGGCACGGGGTTTGATGCATGTAGCGTGGCTTTTGATGCATTTTCTTGAGGTTGTGGCTGTGTTGTCACAGTGGGTGGCCTAGATGCAGCTGATTTAGGTAAACTGGCATATGATGCTCTCTGTGCTTGAAGTGACTGAACTGATTTACTTGGTTGATTGTTCATAGATATCACATCTGGTTGAACATTGTATGGAATGGGTTGTTCTTGTAACAATGGTGTCCTTGGTAACAGTACTGATGATGTTGTACTTTTGGGTGGTGTTACAATTCTGCTAGGTGCTGGTGTATGAGCTGGTGTCCGTTCAATTTCTCTTGATCGGTGAATAGACTCTTGCTGTGGCGTTCTAGGATGGGATGTCCTTGGTGTTGATGGTAGCGTGTTGTCCCCCTGTCTTGACAAGGATGGTTGTGAATCGTACCCTTGTCTTGACGGTGACTGTTGAGGGGATGTTCTATTTTGTTGAAGTGAAAGCTTTGACTGCCGAATAGCTTGATCTATAAGCATCTGTGACTGATCTGTATAGGTAGGCGTCAAAGGTTTTTCCTCCTTGAAATTCTCAGGTGTTCTGGTTGGTGACATGGGTTGTTGTGTCTCATCTTGGCCATACTGAGAATGTCCTTCTATTTGTTCTTCTTCATGAGGAGGAGGGGGCGGCGGCGGGGAATAATCTTCGTATTGTTCTTCGGGTGGAGGAGGTGGTGGGGGATCATCCACTTCTTCATTTAGGTATGGTTGAACGTAATGAGCTTCAGTTTTACAAATTCTTTGCGCAACTAAAGAAAAAAACATATAACCGTCATGTCACAAGACTAATAAACATAGTAATATCCGGATTGTGGGTTTCAGTATCAGTACTTCATAATCTCTGCCGTCTCTTTTGTAATCGTAACGTTGCATTCCTCTGTCTCATCTTTTTGTGGGCGTTATACGATGACCATGTACGTCATGAACCAGCTTCGAACGAGGCTATAAAATGGTGACGTAATCGGACACAATATCACGTGTGCTAAAACCCGCAAATTTTGTTTGTCATTTCAGCTATAAGTTTATGGTAAACCATTGTTTCTTATATAGGCCTATATTTAAGTACGTGCATGGTAGTAACTATCAGCCCAAAATGATATTTGAATGTTGAGTGTTGTAAACACACGAACCATTATTTTTTACGAGTATCATTTTGGAAATGTGAAATAACTTACATCATCGTATTGCCTAAATAATGCAAGTAATGAAATAACTGGACAGAAAATACATAAGAAAAAGAAAGAAATAGATAAGTACAATAGAAACAGTTATTATTATAAATAACAAAATATTCATTCATTGAACTCCGGTAATCATGAAAATATTCACCTTCTAAATCCACAAATGTAACCTTGGCAGCTGAATGGTCTTCAGAGAAATGAACTGCTTCAACCTCTCCGCCACCTATCTCAGGGTTTTGAAAATGTTCTCGTAAACCCAGTTCCGTCATATCGTCTGTCAGATTCGGCACAACGATGGACCTTTCCCCAACTTCATCGTGTTCTACATCGCCTTCCATTGTTCGGTTTAAAAACTAGTGGATATCAAATACGTATAGATCTATAATATTGTGTTTTAGAGTACATGCTTTACGTATGGAAGTTACCTTCCAGTGTGTATGTGACACTGGGTACATGATTGCGAACGCATATCAATGCATTACGTCAATGCCAAGGTGTGCGTGCTCTTCGCGTGAAAAACAGATACCAAAACGCCTGGTCACTTTAATGTAGTTTTGTACGATGCACGAGCATTCTGTGCCGTCGATATAAATGTATCCACTCCGCCGACATATAATATATATTAAACTGGCAGTAAAATAAAATATTGACATTGTCTATTAAAAAATGACGTCGAAGCTAGTACGAGATATATCAAAACACTGCAATAATACACATAGCCTGTGAATACAGGGGTTAATGAAGCACGAAATGACGAGCCAGTTATACCGTTTCACTTGTGTATGGGTGTAGTTAGTTTTACACATTGGTACATGTGCGGCAAATTATTGAAATCAACTCACCAGCTACAGCGAACTTATCAAGACGGGCAAGGGAAAAAAAAGTAAAAAATGGTGTCTACTGCTTAGTTACTAGTAAACATGCTCGAAATATGTACATTGCTATAGATGACACATGGTAGTAAAAGGTTTTACGCTACCTTTTAAACTGTTGTCATGACGACGTTACGCTATTGTTGCAAAGGCCGTTGGAGTGACACCAGAACAATAAGAAGATCACCATCAAACATGAATAGAATAGATTATGTTTTCCACACAATGCCGCATTATATCGCTGAGCAGTAAATCCAGTTTGTATGTATGTATGAAGACAATGCGGCCGACTCTTTGTGACAGAGGAGACTTTTGAATAGCGATATGCACGTAGAGATGATCCAATTAAAAATGGTGCGTCTGAAAGGGGCATGCGAAGAGGTACGATCATGTCACCGTTGTTTCTTACCAAACACACAAAACGTACATCAGTAAATATCTGACCTTTGACCGCTATTTAAACTGTCATTCCCTTAGCAATGTAACTTACGTCAAGTATTTGGAGATGTTTTCATGTATACAAGATGGTCATTTCTTTCACTCTTCCAACAATGGTAAGGAATATGTCCATTTCAACATTTTATGATTACTAAATCATATACAAATTAACAAAATTATGAAATACGCAATGCGCTGTAGTGTTGCATACCTGGCTATCGACAGTACATGTTTAGGTGAATGGGTGCAAACCAGAAAGCAACTCGATGCAGGTTTCAATTCTATATCATTTTATTGGACATATGCGCATGTATACTAGTACGCAGTCTCAATCGCTTCATATTTTAATTCAAATATTTTAGATTTCGCCATATAATCAAATTATATATAACCTTCTGTTTATTGGAAAACTAAAAGAGAGATTTATATAGGTAATTTATCTAATAATTTTACAATTTAAAATCCGGTAAGTGATTTTCGAGGTAATTGTTTTTCACCTTTTAGAAATAAAAAAAAAGAAAGAACAATATATTTTTAACTTAGTGCGAAATGTTTTTGAACTTAATGAAGTCACTCAGAATTAATTTATTGTTTCGCTTGAGGTCAAATCTACAATCAACTGCATCATAAGGCAAACAAAAATTATGTTTCAGTTCCAAAGCCCACGCTCACCAAGTGAAAAAATCACATGTCGTTGGTTGCGCCCTCTATTTCTTTAGGATCTTTTGTTTTCATTATTGTGATAATCATATTATTTGTATTCACCAATTTCCCGCAAACATGGCATAAAGATGGCATACAGCATATATATATATATATATATATATATATATATATATATATATATATATATATATATATATATATATGCTTTCAATTTTCCCCCAAAAATGTGCATATTAGTATGTTCATTATTATAGTAAAAATTTGTTTTTTTTCCCCATTCTCATACATTATTACATGCACCAATTTCATTCTACTTCAACACATGGGTAACACAAAAATAATTACATAATATACAAATTATACCTTTTTTTTAAATCTGTGATTTTTTTTATAATTAGATCATTAAACCAACTTTAGGTCTAATTAACATTTTTGTTTAATTTTCACTAATTTCATTGTCACTTGTGTAATACGCACTGGAATACAATAAGTGGGTCTTTTAAAGGTGGAATTATTGAGTTTCATATAATGTGTACAAAAGTGTTATTCATTTTTAGGCTGAGATTTCGAGGGCAAACATTAGAATTGTGTGTATGTAGAGTTCATATTTGTTGATGAATGAGAAAGTTGATCATAAATCGCATGACAGTGTGCATTAGTCTATTATGTAAAATCATGAAGCTATTGTCCCATGGCACGATTCTTTTGTATTGCAGTGACGTATTTTGTCCTAATATTTTTCAAAAGTTGCTATTTTTAGAACAATTCCTTAGAAAACAATGTTAAAAGAATAATTTGATTTTTGATACAATTTGGGACAAGTACCCTATCATTAACAACATATTCTTTTCAGCATGTTACCAGGCTACATTTTCAGATATGGCATAGCATCTCTGTTATAGAAAGCCTTTGGTAAAAGCATTATAATGCTGTCAAAGTGTCCACCATCAATTAAAATGCAACTATAATGTTTTCAAAAATTAAGCTGGTGACCCCTACCTTTTTTTAGTTCAATACCCTTATATTGCCCGGAAGCACTATTTATTGAACAAGCCATGCATGGCACAGTCCCTGTTAGTTGTCAAATTTAAGATATATAGTTTTGTTAATCAGTTAAAGCATTTAAGAGATATGGCTTGAGAAGCCCAATCATTAAAACAAAATGGCCACCAGACAGCCATTTTGAATCCGATCTGAAAAATAAATGATGTGCATTAGAAACCTGTAATGTCTAATATATGTACCAAGTTTGAACGAAATCTATCCATAAATGCCAGAAATGCTTGATATTTGATGATTTTTTAGCACAAAAATGGCCACCATTCGGCCATTTTGAATAGGATAGTCAAACCAATATATCTGCCTATCTATGACATGATGTATAATGAATATTTAAAATTTGAACATAATCAGTGAAAACAAGTCAGACATATGGCACAAGAACCACATTCATTAAAACAAAATGGCCGCCAGTCGGCCATTTTAAATCTAAACTGAAAAACAAAATTATTTGCATCAAGGTCCCATAATGTCTAGTGTATATACCAAGTTTGAACAAAATCCATGTGTAAACAGCCGAGAAATGCTCGATTTTAATGATTTTTTAGCACAAAAATGGCCGCCATTCGGCCACCTTGAATCAGATCGTAAAACAAAATAATATGCATCAAGGTCCTATAATGTCTAAGTATATACAAGGTTTGAACAAATTCCATCTGTAAACAGTCGGGGAAATGCTTGATTTTAATGATTTTTTACCACAAAAATGGCCACCATTCGGCCATCTTGAACCAGATCGTGAAACAAATTGACATGCATATGTATAATATCATGTATGATGTATGTGTGAAGTTTGATTGTGATTGGTCCAGGCATTTCTAAGATACAGGCACAGATGCACGCACGGACACACAGAGGTCAAAACATAAGTCCCCGTTTTTGGACTGTGTCCGAAGGGGGACTAAAAATGAATAAACATTCGTAGTATTTGCATTCACGAACACATTAATCCAGATTCAGATTGTCATATTTTAAGTTCATTCAGGGTCAGACCAGCCTATTCTAACTTAATCCAAGGTATAAAACCATCATATTCTAACTAGGACATGCCATCTATTATTACTTCATCCAAATAAATGGCACTAGATTTAGGTAGGCAATGGCACAGTCAGCTGGAGCACACATGATAATAAAATAAATGCGATATTTACTATAAGGGGGCCACCCTCTTGAATGCGGCATAAAACTAAATAATCACGTGTGCACCAGCTGACTGTTGACAACGGTTTCCACTCTCAAACACATAAAAATACTGAACACAACTGATAAATAATATTTATTTGGATATATATATATACAGTGTTGACATACATATTGAGTTGATGGTACAAAAGTTCATGGATTTAATTTAAAAGAAAACCTCAATGAATGTAGTGGTATATTATCAATTTTTGTTATCGCACATTGAAATACTCAACCACATTTGACACATATCACGGCGTCTGTAAATGAGCTCACTTGTGTTGACTTCTGATACAGACAAAAAATGACACCTTTATTTCATGAATATTTGTTTGTTTAAGAACTAAATAAAAAAAACGAATAGTCACTGCCTGTTGTGAGACATTATTTCGGAAAATAGTAGAAATTGTCAGACAACCCATGATATACCAAGGTGTTGCTTTTAGCCAATCGCAATATAATTGACATATACTACTTTCATAATATAAAGTACAAATCAAATGCTTTTTTTAGCCAATCATTATGTCACATTTGGAAGTATAAAATAATACTGACCTTTTTTACCTGAAAAATTACATTGTTCTTTAAATTTCAAAAAATTCTTATCACAAAGACCTACTACATATACCTTGTGTGACAATGTCATTCAGTTCTGCTGCAATCCACGTACTCTTGCACAAAAAACTCATCAATATTGGCACAACGAAAAATACAAATGTGAAAAAAAGTGTTAATGAGTTCTATATTGAAATCTGATTTCATGGGTATATAACGAGTAAATACTTTGTGAGTAAAGCTATATAAGTATATGAAATAAACAAATCTGCATCAATACCATACATTTCATGGGAAAGGGTTTGTTGCTAAAAGTGATCATTAGATATTTTAATTAATATCAAGTAAATCACTAAGTCTCTTTTTAAATGTAAAAACAAATACCTGTCATCATGTAGTATTTGTTTGAATTTTCTGTAAGCAATGCATTTAATATGTTGGGGATTGTATTGAACATGACAGGCTTCAACGACTGTATCACTTGAAGCAGTCTCTCCCCTATGAAACTGTTTCTCGTCTTCTAACGTAAAATATTATGGATTTAATATTCCGTTCTACCTGGTTTTGAAGCGGCAGAAATGTGCAGGTGGTCTACGGGAACACAATCATTTGTCATATTCCTATCAGTAAGTGATAACAGAAATAACAGCCACCAACAGGTGTAGTGAAAAACGTCAATGCTTTTCAACGCATGCGGCCATGATGACAGCTACCCTTTAATACGTCGAGACACTGAGCAATAAGCTGCCAATGATTTGTGTGGTGTACAATGTGTTACAGATCAAAGTCCATTAAATAACACAGTCATACCTACACATGGAAATTGTTGAGTATATAGTAAACTCCTAACCCATGTAAAACATACAAAAAACTGCTACAAACCGATTACATATAGTTTGTGAACATGTTATCCAAATAAAAATGTACAGTAAAAAATATTCACTCAGGTTATGTGCTCTAAATGGCATTACTAAATGTTCCACTTAAAGAGCGCCATTCAACTCACGAGGTTACATACTCATTCATGTACAATGATGCTTTGTAATGAGGGAGTAGTGTACACAGTGCATAATGCACTATGACCTTAATCTTGATGTCAGTGATAGATTTCCTCAGCAATTGTCAATCTATCCCCCAAAAATGATCAAGGTCATATTATTGAGTAGTCATGAATGGTATAGTAATCTATACCATATTACTGTTACATTACACACAATAATACTATAACCATATACACTAAATAAAACTAAACAAATGGTCAACTCTAATCGTTTCTAACAACAACAAAAATTAAATGGTACTCCATAAAGATTAAAAACCAAACAGTATTTAAGTAGATATATAAATAGCCACTGCTGGAGGTAACCCTCATGTACCAATATATAATTATCACTAAACATCAGTAAAACAATCCAATAAGACAGAAAATCCTGAAAACATAAGTTAATTGTACACACAAAATTTACATATTCAAGATGGTATAAGAATATCTATTTAAAATATCTTTAAGATGATTAAGAATGCAGGCGTGTGAAAGCATAACATTAAGATTACTACAGCTAGAGTAGGAGAGCTTATTTGCTGCTACTGATCTGTAAAAATATAAGTGCTTAAAAATATCTTAAAAAAAGAACCAACTGGTAATATGAATTATGAATGAGTAAATGGTACCGTAAAATCTGTATTAGAAGCCGCATCCCTAATAGAAGTCGCACCCATTCTTTTTGAATAATTGAGAACCAAAAAATCATCATTTCTCATATGTGTAGATGCCGCGGCTTCTAATACAGATTTTACAGTAGTAGTACTTGTATACACTACTACTACTACTACTACTACTACAGTGATGGTTGTTTTTATATTTTGAGAATGCACAATATAAAAGCAATAAAATAGCTTAGCAGGAGCGACTGTAATATTCACATGAACGTAGACGAGTCTTAAATAAATGGTGTAGTGGACGTTGTCATGAACTGTGTTATCTGTAGATACATAAAGTTAAACAGCTGTAAACACTGTTAAAATTCTTTATAGGCACAATAATTGATTATGGTCAATTAACTAATCAATTTTCCTAGCAAACCAAACAAAAAGATTGTCTCACCATGCATTTTATATAACTATTATTGCAGTACAACAATTTTCCCATTTATTGATCCTATATTAGAAATAGTTTTGTTATCAGCATCAACTTCAGGATGATTGTGGCTAACATACTTTTGAAACTGGAATTTCCGGAAACTTTGTTTAATTTATAATCTTTTATAAAAACTTGAATAAGTATTGGAATTTTAATCAATCGTATTATGCCTGTCTTACAATTCAAAAATGGCTGCCAAATATCAAAGTCATTGTTTCCAATGAATCAAATTGTTATTTTTATATACTTTTTTGTCATTTATTTGATGAAACATTTACCTCTGGAAAATATCAGGAATTCATAGTACATTTAAAATTTCCACTTTTCTACTTCTTAGCTACATTTATCCTTAGAATGCAGTACACATGAACCAATCAGAACCACAGAGAGTAATCACAAGATTTAAATGGTCTTAGGGAAAAAAATGTAGATAAAGTACTGTAAATGCAATAATTATGCACAGAGGTTTAATTTTCTAATTGATAAGTAAAATCCGCTGAATCGAATCCTGTGAATATACAAACTTTAAAGATGAACGAATACATTATTTTTAAATATTGATACTGTATGTTGAAGACAAAAATGAATTATGATTTATAATAAACTAAAAATGCTTCTTTTGCATCACACAAAAGTATTCCTTCAATGAAAATGAAAAACATCAATATGCATACATGTATGCAATGATTGTAATAAAACAATTAATGTGCATGCGTACTAAAAAAAATTACATTGTTCCGCTGAATAAGGTTGTATGCTGCAAGAAGTGTTTTTGTTTTTAAATGTAATCATCAACATACAGTATCAAATAATTATACGCAAAATGTTCTTCTCTATATTGAATGTGATAAATTGCAAAGAATACTATTTTGAATTACAATTTGGCAATTTTTATCCCAAATAAAGTGGACAATTTAATAATATGTAATAGAAAATGAATAATTTTGCAAAAATCATAGATAACTCTTGCAAGTAAAGCTAAGAAAACTGGTTTCAGGGGTGAACAAAAACAAACAATATTTGACACTGTTTAAGTAGATGACCTAATCTAATTTGCATATTACAAATAGATGACCTAATCTAATCTGCATATTACAAATAGATGACCTAATCTAATTTGCATACTATGAGTAGCTAACATAAATGGGTTGCTGCATATAATATGGAAGGCATTTGCGATTTGCTACCGAGCTAGAACCAATAGCGAATTCTTGTTAAGGTGGTTTATACTTGCAACCAAAGTCAGCATTTTACTACTTACAAATTCTGCCTGTCATTTCTCTCTGTGAATTAAACAAAAAGGAAGATATTAGAATGATTCTTGTACAGGCGAAGACAGTGCTTTTATGTATGTTACAAAGCATCTTGAGAATTTGGCTGATTTGATAATTGATCTAACCACTGGGTTTTAAATTTACAAACATTCCAGTGAAACAATGAATTCCATTGTTATTCTACATGTTCACACGGATTTAATTGGGAACACACACAGGCTAGATTCTAAAGTAAACTCCATTTGAGGTTGGAGTTTTGTATCAATAGCTTCTCACAAGACAAACACAAATAATGAGAGTTTTCATAAAAAGCCTTGGAAGGGATTCTACTATTCATGAGAATGATGAAGTACATGTCCAACAACAATGCAAATAGCTTTTGTATTCACCCTATTCACAGTAGTACCACAGTACTCATGTGAATATCATGTGAATATAGTTATAATAAGTATACCAGTACCATATAAAACATTTGGTTTATGTGTACTTCTATCAGTGATAAATTGCTATTAAAGCAAGTGTGTTAGTTCTTCTTTTTACTGTCAATGTCACTTACCAGAGGTTCAAGTTCCCTCGGATCTACAAGTTTATACGCAGTTACAAAGTAATAAAAATGTTTATAACATGTGTTCACATGTGCTTCCTGTAAATAAAACAAATATTCAATCTTGTAAATTTAAGGTGAATATCCGGTGTAAAGGAGTATTTGTAAATTTATCATCAATATTTTTCAGTTTGAGAATCATTGCACATAACACACCAAGTCTTAGGGTATTTATACTGAATAGCAGTAAATGTATAAACTATAGAATGTGGAGAAAAATACTCACAGCTCCGATATCAACTACTTTATCAAAATGATGTATATAGACATGGACAAATACTCTGAATAGTCTTGTCAAAATCTTCTTGCAGACTGGAACAAAGTTTTTAGGGAATGGAACATCTGAAACAAGATAAATAAGGTTCAGTTACAATTCTTTTGTAGGTGATTTCAAAATATTGGAAAGCCACTTTCTTTCACATGCATTTAAATTTTATGTTTTTCAATTCATAAAAACGTCAAGATGAAAGTTATACTGCATCGTGATTTACACATGGACTGTAAAATTCATTCTGTGGTAAAGGTAATAAATTCAGTACACACAAACAGCTTTCCAATACCCTATTGTCTGACACTAAAAATAATTTTGATTTGAGAACAACAAATTATGTCACTTTTCACCCCAATGAATAAGAGTAATTTCAACTAATGAATTCTGAAAAAAATGAAAATCATTTAAAAACGAAGTGAAATTAAACATCAGTAAAACATATTGCTTATCATACAAAAAATATAGTATACATGTATGGATACGTTATAGTAACATATTCAATTGGGCAAAACAATATGATCAATTTTGTCATTTTTTATAATATTCCATGTTTGCCAAGGCAGTATTAGCCGAAACTATTTTAAACAACCATGCCGAAAGTTGGACAAGTTGCTCTTTGTTTTCAGTGTAAGGTATACCTTTAAAGATATGCAGTATTACTGCATGAATAATGTCTACATAACATGTAAGCCTAGGGTATTTAAATAAACACTGGATGTAGATGTATATGCCACTTACCAACATTGATGGGGAAAATATCTTCATTGTTGATATATTCTTCTACCCATTCCATGAGTAAGGAAATATATTTATTTGCTGGTACTTGTGTTGGCCTCTTGTATTTCACACCGTCACACCACATGTACTCATATTTGGGACCTCCCGACATAGTGGGACATGTGGTCGCATCACAGAATTCACATACTGTTCCATATATGAGATTTATGCGGTTAAAAAAATCAACAACTGAAAAAGAATTTTAAAATGAATTATTCTGAGAAATAGTCTTCATTCGCACATGAAAAATTAAACTTAAGTACTGGTAAATCATATTAAGTGTATACATTGCACTAGCATAATTCAATAATATTGTTATCGAATCATCACGATATAATCGGATGAAAAAGCATTATACATTTTGTACATGATACGTAGAAGTTTAATTATGAGTGAAATTGTTCATGTCGCTAGGAAACTATGGCCTCATGACTGCAAATACCAAACAAATAAACATCATAGTCAGCTTCTACATGTTCCTAAGAAACAAATGTATTCCCCAAACTAGAAACCTAAAATCCAATGTGTCCATGCAGCTACCATGTATCATTTTATTCATGCCTCAACATGGTCACTTTGCAAACTCAACTAATTTTGTCATGGGCAATAATGATATGCAAATAATTTACCATGTACGGCTATCCAATCATTATAGTCTTCTTCTGCTGGTAACTGGACAACGGATTTCAAATCTAACCCTGCGTTTAATGAAGCCTGTGCTTTTTTATGTAATTGATATCGCATAGTTCCAGGTTCAAATTTCTTCTTCGGACGAAATGTCTGAAACATAAAAAAAAAAAAATTCAAGAGACACATTGTTACATGTAACATACATTTTTTGTTTGTATCTGTACAATCAGGGGTCAATAGTGGTGATTGTGAGTTTGTCATAAAACAACCAAATATAAAAACTGAGAATATATACAGAAATCACACTGTTATAGTCCATTGTTAAAGGTCAATTATTCAGATTTATTTTGTTGCAGGTGGAAAAAGTTGGCAGGATTTACAGGATTAAAAATAACATCAGTCATGTAGGCACCCCATTGGCTAGATACGTGTACTCCCTTCCATTGAATGTCTTGATGCAAGTCCTTAGACATGCTAAATGTGAAACAGGCTAGAGAGTGCAGACTAAATAAACAAACAAAATAAACACTGTTAATATATAATACATGTATGTGTTAAACAGCTCTACTAGTTATAATACATTGTACAATAATACATGTTCTACTGGTACATCAAAGGTTTTTATTTTTATTCACCCGATATATCATATTGCTGTTGATGGTTTCCTCTGATTTAAAACCAAAATACAAGTAGTGTTACATTGTACAATGTGCAGTACTAAATAATTATACAAACTTTTTTCAAGTTAAAATACACAAGTCATGGTGTATCGGATACATCAGTGATTTCAGATAAACCAGTTCAACATAATATACATGTACATGTATATTTTGCAGCATAAAAAGGGGCTGCCGGATTGAAATGTCAGTCTTGAATGTATATTGCTGACACATTTATTCAACAAATTTTTAGTTTAAGCTATAGTTTATAAATTGAAACCAGGCAAAATACTTTCATGTGAAATTCTATGTAAACAGTAATTATTTTCCAAATATGAAAACAAAGTCATTGATGGATTAAATCAGGGTTTATTCAAGGTTCTGTGGTCAGAGAGACAGCAGTGACTGATGGCATGAGTTGAATTAATATTACCATAGTAACTGGAGCGTTAAGCCCACAGATGATGTATCTGTGTCAATCCATGTAAACAAACAGTACATGTAAGGTAGCCGGCTATCATTAAAATGTATCCCTGAATTTCCTGGACTTTTACCATATGGTTTTATATCATAATGTTGCTCACAAAATTCAGAAAAAATGTATGGTCATCAATTACTTTTCCTACAAAAAATTAGTCATCTGTGAAAATGTTTAAGCCATTGGGCCATCAGTTCCTATGGCAAAGGTGTATGCCAAAAGTGAAATTTCATATAGTGAAAAAAATAATATGTCGTTATAATGTCGTCCTGAATTATTGTGAATTTTGAATACTATTTATTTTTTATGAAATGTTTATGTTTTAACTTGAATTCTTATAGCAATTATAGTTCAACAATTTTGCATGTTTTCATACTGGGTTTCTATAACACTTTTAAAAACATGATAATATTTTGACCTTATTTAATAGGTTGAATACCCATGAACGAGCTTTAGTTGGTGCTTGACACAGTTTAATCCCAAACAGCTGAATTTAATCATGATTATTCTTTAACCTTGATACAGGTCATAGCTATGAGAACCTATCATCACTTTTCAACATATGTGTTTGAGTGTTAACATTAATTCTTTGGTTTGAGATGTAAACATAGCACAGACCACGTTAATAATTAATTCCCAGGTTGGTTAACCGCTGTCTACAGCATGTCACCATTTCAATTTTATGCATGCTGTCTCTGTAAACATATGGCGTGCATGCACGTAACAGCATCACAGGTGGAATGCATTCTGGGTAATTGTATGTCATCACGCAAGAAGACTTCTTAGCATACGTGCATTGACAAAAAATGACAGAAAGGAACTAAAAATTATTTAGATGCACAACAGGACATCAGCAATTTGCTGGTATTTTTTACAAAATGTCCTAATTTTGTTTAACCATTTAAGACAAAGGGCCTGAGTGTTCTTGAAAAATGTACTGCTTCACTCCAAAAATATGAAAAATAATTAGAATTGTCCCTAACGCTACATTGTAATTGAGATTTCGAAAACAAATTGTATGGTTCCTTATAACCAAATCTACCCTATTTTGACTGCCCAATCTTAAAAACAAAATACAATGGGCTTTGAGTGAGATTTTACAGAAATTCTAAACTTTGCAAAACTGGGTAATGTAAACAACTTTAAACATGATTTATGACACTCGTATCTGCAAAACAGTTTTTATACTTGTACATGTATGCACACAGTTATAACAAAGGAAAAGTCTTAACAAAATCTCTGCTTAACTACCGGTACATGTACCTGTACTCAATTTTTGATAAACATGTTACATTAATTTATATATTAACAGAAACCAAATAATATTTGAAACAAGATTATTAGACATGAATTTTCAATAATTAATAATTAATTAAACTACAGCATTATCAATACCAGCAAATTTGATGATGTCATTGCTTTAGTTCATTCGCAATAATGTATTCCTTTAATAGGATTTACAGAGGAAAATGCGATAAATGAATGGGAATATGTCTACAGAACACGGGTACAGAGAGGTGAATTTGTTCAGCTGTTTGTAGTGAGTAGTACATGTACATGCAAAACAAGATCAACGAAAGATAAACATGACTTCAGCGATGACTCCACAGTGAATGTCACATTCCAGGAAAACAGTTTGATTAAAAAAATTAAAGTATAGATGTTCTTGTGTGTATTTTATTCATACAGTCACATTAAAAAATGTTGACAGTTTTGTAATGTTGCTGCTTGTTTGGACTGTTGTATGTCTTCTGTTAGCATCACATGTGCTGACAGAGGTGTGTCTATGGTCAAAATAACTTGTACATTTTATGGTATTCAGCCAATGTGTCAATATGTAGATTTACTCAATGTTTGCAAATAAAGATCGTTATCAATCAAAATGCAGATATACATGTAGTTAGTATTTTTAACTCACAACTTCCTCTGGTAATATTATATAATAATAATGTCAGGTAATATACATGTACCTAGTGTAATCAATGGCACTGGAGAATACACAAATGTGTGGCAAACTTCAAGAAGAGAATGATCTTCCCAACATGTGCATAATTTGGTAAGACTTCATATACATAAGTGCATGCTCTACTATACGAGGAAATACGATACTCATACATGCAGTATTCCCCCCAGGTTTATTTTTAACAATTATGATAATTTACATAACAATTGAATTAGCATATTAAAGAATATGCAAAATTAAGTGTTAATTACCATATCTATTGTTATGATAACCAGAGACTAGGGTATGAATTCACATATACATCATATTTATGCCAATTGTAGTGAAGTTTCAGGTTAATTTTTATTATTAAATCATGGTTATCTTCATCATAATTATAAATTAACAAAATAAAATTACGTTTACAAATTCATTAAATCAACAGCTTTTTCGACAGTCGATAATTTAACACTGTGTCCATACGCCCAAATTATTGCGTGATTGAATATGGTTAATGTAATGCTTTAATTATTCACTGGGTTTTTATTTCACTAATTTCCCTGACAAGTAAAATCTGCTACCGGTAAATTAAATCTACGTGAACATGTAAAATAACAATTAAACAGATTGTTTCCTTGACAAATTCATGAAAATAAAAGAGTGAATATGCTCAAAATAGCGAAATTAATTTCGTACAACTACAAAGTCTGAACAACAAACTAGTAGCCAGAAAAAGGAAATAAAAACATTGCGGTTTAATGTTCAGTACAGACTTTGAGCCCATACACAAGGCAACGATTGAGATTTATTGAGAGCTATCAAATTATCGTTCGAAAAAAATACCTCCTTTGTGAGACGTGCTTTTGATACAAACCAAATATCGTGATCAACCCGGCAGGAAACTACCGCCATTTAGTCTTCCTTATCATCATTCGGTAAAAACAAAAAAAATTAGCATATTTACTGATTATATAATGAGTGCATAATTTGTTTAAAAATATCAAATGAGAATAAACATTGACTAAAATAGAAATCAACTGCTTTGTTTTATTTGAGAAAGATGGAAACCATTCAAAAGCGAATGTGAAACATTCCTGTCTGCTCGAGAAGACACTTGGAATAGTGTGCAAATACATTGTTTACAAATATTAGATCACATGCATAAAACAGAAAATTTATATCTTGACTAAAACTGACAAACTTCCTTGCTATTGCTGTCGAGTGTTTGCTTATTAGTAGGCCATAGATTAAGTGTAATCACTTAGAATCAAAACCGCTAGACGTGGGGGATTCAGCCTTCCGTTTCACTGCTCGTGGTGTCGCAACATCGGTAAAGATCAGTACTGGGTTGAACGGATGACCACCATATTTTGAATGATCATAAATAATTTTTGAACCCAATAGTAGTGAATCACTGTGATTATTACATATATCTCTTGCAATGTCTGGAACGCTACCGAAAAAGTCATTGGATTCACAGACCGACCAGTGAATACTAAATAATTGTCTAGGATCGATCGTTTCACAGGTATTGTTCTGTTTAGCCACCTCGCAGCCACGCCAATAAGTTTATCAGTACCGCTAAAACAGGCAATGTCTGGCGCTAATTACTTATTCATCCTTGCAAAACAATGGCCCACATAAGACAAAACCTTCATTGAAATGAATCAGAAACGACCCATCTTGAGGGAAACAGTATCAGGAAAAAAAAGCAGTATTGGACCTGATAGTGATACTCTTAAAAGACCTGGGGAGAGAACACTGCATACGTGTATGGTAACACTTTACTACATGGACTAATGAATTAATAGCATTACTATAATTGAGTATGTGATTGTTATCAGACATTTTTAATTAGTCTAGACCAGTCAGTACCTTAGAAATTGGCTGACCAACAAATACTGTGGAGTACTTTATTTTCGCTGGAATTAATTTTCGCTGAAAAGGCTTTTTGGGTGTTTTGTATGGAATTTATTTTCACTGATTTTGTATGCGATTAATGTGAAATGTAGAAAAAAAGTATATTCGCTGGATTTTATTTTCACGGAATCATCCCTTCAACGAAAATAGCGAAAATAAATTCCAAGCGAAAATAAAGTATTCTACAGTACTGCATTTCATAAACCACAACTATAAAATTACATGCATTTCAACAATATCATACTCATCCGATTTAGCACCGATTCCTCCACAGTGTTCTCCCTAGAAATTTTCCATAGAGTCACGGCTAATTTGCATAATAATTAGCCTATAATTTGCACAAATTAACATATTGTTTGTCATAAAAAAAAGAGAAATAAAACAAAACCAGTTTTCTCCTTTTTTTTCTATTTATTTTATGTACAATCTATCACTCTTTTGTATACAATAAAAGTGCACTGCATGTTTAGTATTGCAAATGTCTCACAGAAATACTGAGTTTTCTGTTTCTTTGCTTGGCCCATAAATCAGCAACTTCATAAAACCCTGCTCGATCCCGGTAAATTAAACATTGGGTTGATGATTCTCCGTGCTTGTCTTCCGTTTCTGTTTATTTACGGTTAGGTTCAACAACTATTACGAGTCACGATACTTGAGCTACTATGTTCAAGCATGGATGTACATCCATGGTTCGAGCAATAATAGTTTCTGGCTGAAATTATCCATCTTTATGGCATTTTTTATTAATCGATGTTGTCTGTTCAACACAATTGTGAACAAGTCAAGACAACGAAATTACGAATCATTGCCATTGTTATACCACGTAAAAATTGAGGCTTTTCCTCCAAGAAATAACACAAGTGATATGTTTTTTTATTAGAATTCTTACGTGGGTGAGCCATTTTGGATTACGATCACGAGGTCAAAATTATTTACATTAAAAAATATATATTTTTCACATTTTGATCTCAAAAAACAAATACAATATCAAAAATAGTATCCTGACAAAAAACAAAACCTAGAATAATAGTAAAATTACATTTCTAAAAATATAATGGAAATACGTTTCGTACACACTGGAAACATGTGGCTTTTGACCCCAAGTGTGACTATATCATTTGCATATGAATATACGTTTGGCAAAGAGCGTTTGACACCGGGGCTTACGGCTTTGTCTTTATAGAACTGCTTTGTTTTTTAAAATGATATCCAATGAAAAACAACAGGGGATTATCCTGGGAAATTGGCGTTAATACCATGCGTTTGTAGATTTAACTAGTTAGCCAGGAAACTTTACAGTCTATGAGAGACTTAAGAAATCAGATCATGGGATAAATAATAGCATCGTGGAGGAAAGGAAATGCATAGCACCGCGGGCAAATCCGATATCGACGCAGCCAGCGACACTGTTTTGGACTGGGAAGAACACTGCCCCACTTTTGAAAACCTGGTCTTTGACCTTGGTTTGACAATTTTCCCAAATACATGTACTGCTAAATGAATTTATATAATACAGCACGAATATTGACTGAAGTGAATATGTTTTGAATGCATAGATGGTAACTTTGCATAAACTATGCTTTGACGATGACTTGTTAACAACCATGAAATTCCAGATTCAGTTTACTTTACAAAAATTGCTAATTACCAGTCTTTTTTTAAAGAAATTATGCCATATTTTGTTACAAAAATCAATTTTTACAGATCAGACATCAACAGCAATAATACAATTTTGCAATTGCATAGATGGTTACCAGAATGCCTTCCGAAATTTATGGAGTTGGTAAACACAGCATTCTGATTGGTTATTAATTAAGAGACTTGACCAATCAGGTCAAAGGATGTTCTTGCGAATCAAATTGGGCAAGAAAATACCATTGCTTTGCATCAATAGTTTGCATACTATCGAACACATTCAACAATGAAGATAATGATGATGCTTTTGACTATTTTGTGACTGTGTTCATACGGATACTATTAATTTTAACATCGTGGATTCAGGTGCAAATGTGCATATTTTTAGTGACCATTTCTGTTTATTTATTGTAAAAGTATTTTGCAATTTTATTCTCCCCAAATAGACATAATAATTCTCTCAATCTGGCACATGATAAATTAAAAGGTCATTTTCATATTTTTGAAGGGTTGCTCAGCTAAGTGCCCACCCTCTAAAACACATGAATTTTTGAGCTGATTACCCTGGGTACTAAGTTGGATGAGTATGGTACATGATGTATAAGTTTCTAATGCTTCCCATACAACCAGTAAGTAATTAGATGAAGCACAGTGTTTATACAACTGGGATACATCTTGTGCAGTCATTGCACAATTAAAATGTGTGACGCATTGTAGCCATACATTGTGTATCTAACACGATACAGTACAGTGATTATAGCACCTTAGGACATATAGCATATTGTAACAATAATGCAAATAGCATTCTTTTTGCAGTGTTCTCCCCAGCATTCAATTTGTGTGCGGGGCCGCCAAGCTGCTTTCCCTGCCCGCCACTGTGGTCTCAAGCAGCCACGGTGATTAGTAAGACCGCCACAGTGCTTTTTTCATTGTTCATCCTGTGAACTGTATGTCGAAAAGAAAGAAAGAACTACGTAGCTATCAGGGATCTTGCCACACTTCCGACCAGGACTATTGTCCGATGTACCGACCGACACGCATCCTACCAGTCATGGATTATAATTTGTAAACAATAGACGCAGTCGCACAATGTGGTAGTGGCTTATAAACAATACAAGTTAATTTTGTAAATACTTTGACGATCGACGCAGTCTTTAGATTGAAAGCTAAAATTCTTTCAAAATCAATTCCACCCCGATATAACATAGGCAAAGCGGGGTTCACGATTAGTTTACGCTACTCGTAAAACGTGTTTATTGCGTGACTGGCTAAAATACATTTGAACTTTTATCATCGCGAATCGTAAAAACTCTTCTTTCAGGACTTCTTTTACCTTTTAAAAATTGCTTATCACCTATTTCGAAAACCATTAAGCAGTTTTTATCTGAAATCCATACCAACACATCGTGCTACGAAATTTGCTTTACTTCCGCAATGTAATTTTTATGATCACTACCATTCGGAAAACTCCGGGTTCTCCCGGCATTCTGATTGGTTAATGGCGTTTTTGACCCATCGGGTCAAAGGACACATGCCGGTCAACTAATACGTCACAATTATTGTGGCAGTCTGTGTTTTTCGCTGAAGCGATTGAGTGATCAAAAATAATCGCTCCCGATAAAACTAAATCAAATTTTACGTTTATTTCATATAAAAAAGAAGTAACATTTTTTGCATGGCATGACCATGGAGGTAAAAAGAGAAGGAGTCACAGCCAAAATAATCCTCCTAAACTTCTTTTGTTTTAACCAAGTTTAATCCTATAATTCCCTTTGTCTTATCGTCTTTTCACCCCAGGATCGTCGCCGACGCATCATTTCTCTCAAGCATTGCTGCGTACAGTACGCACTCCAAGGTCTTGTTTTACAGTGTCGCAGTAAAAGCCAAAGGACATAAAGCATGCGCAGATCTTTTATACGCAGAGGAATCGTGTTTGTGAGAACGGGAAAGTTGGAATTTTGAAAATCGGAGTATTTCTTGTTAAGTTTATGTAATTTTTCGTTTTTCAGCACATTTTCCGTTGTATTTTTGAATCGGTAATATTGGAATGTTTCAAAACCTTGCTAGTACTGTTTTTTAGTCCAAAACAAAGATCGTTTAATGTTCCTTGCAATGGTGCATGACATGGACCGCACCGCATTGTACCGGATACTGAAGTTTGAGATTCGAAATGACACTTTTTGAAGTTTATAATATATCCCGTGTATGTCCTACTTCCTATGGCAGTGCGTCAATTTTCTTTATACACCATGTACAAGAAAATCGCTGCATTTTTTTGTTTTCGTGCAATCATTTTGTTCACAGCATATGCACAAAAATTCTTCGTCTGTAATATGTTCTTCGATTTCGTTTACGTCTTCTGAATTTAAGGATATAGCAGTTTTAGCATCGTAGTCAAACTTGTGCGCGTTATCGATCGTGGCCATATTTGTTTATAAGAATTCAACTAGAATTGTCACGAAAATGCCGAGTGCTGCCGAAGGCGTCCGTAGTATGCTAATACATGGTAATCCTCACTGCGCTAAGAGGAAACTGTTCTCCTTGATCCGTTCGGCAAATAAACTCCCTGATCTATGTGCAAACAGCGGCGACCATCCTGGTACCTCTGATCTAAGCTTGGCTGTGACTCCTTCTCTTTTTACCTCCATGGCATGACTGAGTAAGAGGAATTATTGGTATAACCGGAGTATAACATGGCGAAGTTAAGTCACGTCGTAACTTTGATGATCGTTTGGAAGTTTTATTTGTTCGTTCATTACTGTAAATGTAAACATTGTAGAAGCTGATGGTACGAATAATGAACAATTTTTTGAAGGAGAATGTTTTTGTAGTAAATAAGATTATGGAAGTCAAGAACATATTCATGGCTGAAACGTTTCAAATGCGTTTCATTTAGCCTTTATAATTTATTTGTTTGTTTGTTTTTAATAGTCTGCAGCAGACTATTACTTCTAGAAATTACTTCTAAGAATCAGATCAATTGTGCAGAGCACAGGAAATGTATCATAATATTTCATAAGACAAGGAAGTTACCGAGTCTGTGCATGCATTGCCACGGTAGTGGTGGAAGAGAAGTAAGGGAACCACGGCGAAGAATGGAGGAATAACATTGAACTTAAGACATTTTAAAATCAGACGAGGCATAATTACTTAGTTCATAAATCTGCGAATTCACTTCAAGAGCTGGTTAGAACTATGTTTTTATATGACGATCGTTGTTGCATTGGTGGCCTAGATTAATCGGCCGCCTTGTTGATCAGGAAGTACGAGCGTCACTTGTCTTCATCCAGAACGAGATAAATTTGCAATTTTACGTCGTTTGTAGAAACTTAATAACCCCAATTACATACTAACCGACACCCAATTACAATAACAACGGTAATGGTGGGTAATAAAGGATAAAATGGCCATTTACCTTGTCCCGCTGAAAAAACTTGCCGAAACCCTCCATCTTGGTTACATTAACTGCGCATGATCCAAAATGCTAAAAATAAGTACGTGTTGACGACCACCTAGCTTAGTGGAAATTAATTCACTATCACCTGATCTGACCCACAAATGCGACTTTGTATTGCGAAACGGATTGATGTAATTCAGACGAAAATAATTGAATGGATATCACCGAGGTCGTATCGGCTGGAAAATAAATACATCAATTATATTATAATACAGCTGACACGAAGACCAAATATGGATTTAACATATATTAAAGCCTCAGGCATCAGAGGTACCTCTACCTTCTCTACAGGTACTTCCGCCGGACGTCAACTCGCGGATGTTTACGGCCCCGGAGACTTATAATATTGTGCGATCATTTGATTTTTTTGACTGGGTATATATATATATATATATATATATATATATATATATATATATATATATATATATATATATGCTTAACTCTCCAATGTCATTACTAGCGGTTATAGCATATTTGCTAGGAAATGAGCATAGCACTTTTTAAATATTAGTAAACTATGAAATCGTTGTATTTCCGAGTCTGTTAGACTTCCCGAAAACTCCGATCATACTATAACGGAAATATATACTTGTAATAGTAGAAAGCCCGGAACATACTTGCTTGAACTTTACTGTCTCGCTTGAAACTGGGAATAGACAGACCGGTAGGCAGTTTGTAATTTGATAATGTCCCGGGATAATGCTCCGGGGAAAGTAATGTGATGTAATGTAATATGTCTAACATAACCACTGGCACTATGGTATATTTATATAAAAACGTAGTTTAAAAAAGCGGGGGAGTCGTCACCTGTGCATTCAGCAGACTGCCATAGCGTGTCGTTGTTTACAAACAAGCGTCTACCCATGAGCCTTTGCGTTTTTAGCGTGCGTTGTTATCGTCGCTTGTGACGATCCCTCCGCTTGAAATATATGAGCAATGCTGCATTAATAAATGCATACAAATACAAAACATATCACAATAGTACGTTTGTGTCATCATAACAAAATAATTCCAACATTGAGAGTTTTTAGAAATTGTTTAAGTGTACATGCGAACTATAAATAGGTGAAGATAGAAGTATTACTTAGTTATTGTAATTGCGAAAATTCGTAATAAAGTCACTAAACATATTTAAAAAGCAGTTGTTACATATTTATAGTAAAATAAAACTAGCCCCCCCCCCTCCCACTAAATTTTTGTACATTATAATATTCTGAGAATAATTAGCACTTGAGTGAAGCAGTGGGTTTGAGTGGTCTTCATAAACTATTAAGGTAACAACGCCTTAAAATGTGATCCGTGATTCAGACGTTCTCTAAAAGTTACTAAACAACGTAATTTCCCACAAATTGTATGTTTCAGCTTGTTTTGGGAGTGATGAATTATGCACCGTCTTGAACTTGACCCTATGTATAAAACATGGAAGGACATGTTCTGCCTAATATAATCGAAATAATTTGAACGTGCACGCGAATTCTCCTTATCTACACTTATTTATTCTTATTCGTTATGAGGATCAATATTAAGAAACCCGTTGAACATCAATATGATACGCCAATTCAAAGATTTGTAATTGTATTAACACTGCCCCTCTATAGATTAGAAGGGCTGTGCTTTGATTAAATCACGCAAGTATGCCACTCAATTAAGGCATGACCTTTAATATGCATTAATATCCTGTTGTGAATTTAGAGGAGAACAGGCGCTACTCATAGACACGTATCCCATAATGCAATGCAGGAAGGGCGTCATTTCAAAGGTGTGCCCCTCTGCATACGCCCCTGGTGCCACCTCAACATGTATCTTGAACGGTGCATGTATGCACAGTCAGCTGGCGCACAAGTGGTAATAAAATAAATGCGATATTCACTATATGGGGACTATTTATTTAGTTTTATGCCGCATTCAAGATGGCGGCCCCCATATAGTAACTGTTAGAATCTTTGTTACACATACTGCAAAATCAATGTATGTCAAAAGTGTAGTAGTTCAAGAGTGACAAAATTATTTATTTATTTATTTATTTATTTATTTATTTATTTATTTATTTATTTATTTATTTATTTATTTATTTATTTATTTATGTTTTTGTAAAATCTTCTGGTCGGTGTTTATACCAGATCGCAACTAAGAGCACCGGAAGTTTGGCACAAGTGTATTCTTTGTACTGTAATCAGCTGATTGCAAAGATGGCCGACTCTGTCATGAAGACACATCTGTAACGTGTTGTGCATTTCAGAGTGATTAAGTTGGATTAACCCTGAATGTTTCCATCTCGAACATGTCAGTAGAGTAGTAGTCGGTTGTTTCTTCATTCACACGGCATCTCAGCCCAGTGACGACAAATACAGCAGGTATGTATGTTTGTCCCGGTCGCGCAAGGAACAGTATTCTAATAATTTGTCCGAATTGTCTGTTATATCACGGTTACTAAAAAAGTAACCGTGGTTATATTTAATAACCAAGGACTAAAATTGCCTCCCTGCCAGTTCATATTTGACTGTAAAAATCTTCAACTGGCAAATGGTTTTGCATTCACGCACAGCCCATCTGAGACGTGATTCAGGGTCGGGAATGACTTTGTAGCTCGCATTATTCTTCTTTTAGGGTCTATGGTTTAATTGATCGGAAGTATTTGTAATCTATTGGGATATAAAAGCACCACAACTTCCGACCGGGAGGTATTGTACATGTTGTATAAATTGCTGTGACGACTGACGGACTGCTTCACATACTGTTCAGCTGTTAGCAGCACTACGCACATTCAATATCCACAGCCACAGGAAGTGGTCGGACCACAGTCATTTTATAGTGGTCGTGGTTATTTCCCCACCTACGTTGTTTATATATTCACAGGTATAATCAACTGTGGTCTGACAAATCATCGGGTCAACCACAAACTAATCGTGTAAGCATATACTATATAAAGGTCACAACATGTGCATTTCAAACAATACCGCTGAGGGCAGTAACATCGACTGGAAATCAAATTTATAGCCCGAGTTCCGTTCGGAGTCCCACTGCATTGCGACGTGTAATGTTGTGCCCATAGGTTTAACGTACTTGTTATTTAACAAATGTAGCTAGTGTGATAGTCTATATGTAACTCGTTATATGGTCTAACTTTACAGCAGTGTGTTGGTCATTGTGACTTATTGCTGGCGCAAACACACAATCAGTAAACAACCATTTAGACATTAGAAAAATGTTTCTAATGTCTTAGATTTGACGAACTAATAGGATGGGCGAGGGGAGATATCTAAGACATAAATTCAGAGCTTACTATACAAAATATCGGACATGATACATGTACCTGTGACTGAACATCTTGAGTACGATTCATGGCCACAGCATCGGTTTTAAAAGAATCTCATTGAATCATTGAAAACTGAACACTGTTCGGGATTTTTTCACCAAAATGAACCAATGTAAATAATAATAATTATTCAACACAAAAACAAACTACATTGAGTTGTTCTATGGTCGTATAAACTAAACTAAACTAAACTAAAATTCAGTAAAGCTAAACAAAATAAACTAACATTTAGTAAAGTTGAACAAAGTAAAGAGAATGCTAAATAAAGCTAAATAATATTACGAACAAATATATAAAGAATCACAATATACTCGTACAGTACAGTACAACACAGTACACTAACTACTACAGCTAAGAAGTGAAAAATCACATTAAATTCATAAAATCTTGACTATGACGGAAAGAATAGTTTTAATTTTGGTGGAGCTGCTCATATCTCATTCGCATATATTTTTTGTATATAATATGTGTATTATTATTATTGATTACGAACTGTGAATATAACCTGTCTTTGAAATTGGTGAATGAAAGTTGGTATGGTTATTAGGTTATACCGAATAAAACAGACTCAATCGTGAAACAACTTCGATGTTTTGAATTCCAACGTTCGGCGAAACATGTATTATATAGCAAACAATGCATAACAAAATACATTTTACCATAACGTGACCAGTCACCCAGTAAACGATCATTCTGACTCGGTGGATAAGCAAGCGCAATCGATTTTTAAAACACACACGCGTAACCACGAACTTTGTGAAAAGGTTTACATAGACAGACGCATTTTTGTAAATTAACAAGCTTGTATGCATAATTGCTGAACACATCGACATTACATTTTGTAATCGTGTCAGTTGTTCATACTTATAATTGTATTTTATATCAAACAAAAATAAATACACCATGCTTGCAATGTACGCAACGAGTTATTATTAGATGAATTTAAATACGCCATGTAAATGCATGTAAATGCATAAAAATACGATGTGCTTGCAACGTACGTGCTATTGGTAAATAATTAAATCTAAATATATGTATATAACTGCAAGGACTCAATCGATAAGATATAACAGGCATGTGTGGTCGAAACTATTTCCGGGGTGGCGAATGGTGGCCAACTCCCGTATATTACATACATATTACAATATCTTATTGAAATTATATGTTGTTGGAAGCCACAGGAGTCTCTGAAATACCGATACCAAAATATCACCTCATACAAATAGTACATTTATAAACAAAATACAACAACCTAGGTATATCACGAGCACATCTGTTTTGCGTATCTTGGCGAGTGTACGTGGAAGTTCAAAATTTTTTTAAGGATTATAAAGCTTTGACATTATTTTGCCTGGCGTTGTACATAATAGGTGTCGCATTTTTTTGTAATTCAACTATTCTATTGTTTTACTAGAATAAAATGTGAAAAAAATTGTCTCTTCTAGTTCTCTTCTATTGATGTCTAATTTTACTTACCAAACATGAAAAAAATAAAAGCGATTAACGCAAGATACAATGTACCTACGTAACATATAACAAATCAATTGAACTGGTAGTTTTCAAGAAGTCGTCGGAATTAGCAGTTTTGACAATAGTGGCCCATAATATTCAAAACACATAGGCTGTTGGTTTTCAAAAAGAAGATGCAAATTGAATTGTTGAAGGACGAACAACAGATAATAAGTAATATGGGCTTCGTTGCTGTGTCATCTTTGATGACATCGGAGCTGACAATTATTAGTATTCAAGTCGCAAATACAAAACTTGTTATAAATAATGGTTATTTTGTCAATAAAGTATACAATTGTATATTTCCAGTAAGCTTAAGAGCTAGTAATATTTATTCTAATAACTTGTCAAAAGATCCCTCCCTTATCTTCTGTATCTACAGATTATGTATGTCATGCTCATATGCGTTTACGTTCGAAGTTAACACGATGTTCCCAAATACATTGTATTCTGACTTTTACAATGATATGTACGGAATATTATCTACACTTCATTTAATGCGGTGTGCAAGTGTCCTCGGCAAGCATTGTTCTTAGTAGAACACCAGCTACCCCTCTTGCAGACCCTCTCAATAAATAACTTAACCGATACAATGAGTTAGAGCTTTCATACAGAAATAGAAAATTAACTGAATCATACGATATCAGCAGTAGTGCGCCACCAGCGGTTGTTCCGGTACTATATATCGCCACGGTTACGCGGTATTACGCGTTGAAGATGGGGAAAAAATCATCACACTAGTTTTGTCCCAGCAGTTCTCGGAACTAAAAAACCGGAAAACACAAATTACGGCGAACAGGTTATTTTACAAATCTACAAAATAATAACTTATTTTATATGTGAGAAAAAAAGAACATTTGACATAAACGCGAAGCCATTGATAAGTAACAAGTGTAAAAGCACCTGTGCGAGCTAAATAGCTAATAACGATGACAATTAGTATTGGCTGGCAATTGCAAGAATATGATTGGCTGTTATGGTCACGAGGTATAGCAATGTACTACTAGTATACAAAAGTGTATAAACAAAACGGCGAATCATACCCCAACTTGCGCGCCTGTGTGCCAGCCTGTGAATAAGTTACGTTGTCATAACAGATGAGTATACCTGACTCCATATATATTGATTCGTTACTCACATTATTCTGACTTTTCGTAATTGCAGGAGATTTCTACAAATGAAAATATATTGCCTAAATTAAGATGTTCCAACAACGACACCGAAGCTTATAGCAAGCTTTTAGCGGGAATATGAATCCAGCACACCATCGTCAGAAATGTGTTCGTTGTATATGTAACAAGTGGACAATTCTAACTATACTTGCATTTTTGACATGGCTGTACCGTTTGATCGTTTATCTCTCCGCATCAAACCTACAATTAGTTTTGGTACCCATGGAATTGGCCAATGAAAAAAGAGCTTATTGCCTTGATGGATCAGCACCAGGATATTATTTCAGAAAAGGTATTTTACTGAGAAGAGTACTAGTATATAGTTGCATAGTATATTGTTATATTAAGTTCAATCAGTGATGACAAATTGGTTACAAAGGCACATATTTAGGTTTCGTAGTCCTACTTAATTTGCATATATCATTAAGTTAATTAACATTTTTCAGGTCACGACGAGGGTGAGAATTCGTGGATTTTATATCTACAAGGTGGTGGCTGGTGTTGGAATATATCGGATTGCTATGAAAGAACTAAGGGAAGGTATGGTTCTTCGAATGAAATGCAAGGAACACTTCCAGTTGGTGGGTTCCTGTCCAACAGTGCCAACTCTAATCCTGATTTCTACAATTGGAATGTTGCGTTTTTCGCATACTGCGACGGAGCATCATTTGCCGGTAAGGAATCGTGGACCAAGTGCTCAATATATTTATTAATGCTATTTGAGCTGTATTTTACATACCATGCATTTGCATGTTTTGAAAGAATTTATATAAAGAAAAACAATTGCTTCATCACCTTTCAATATTAGTGATAACAAATTTTCCCTGTCGATTGATGCCTGGTATAAAAGTTCCACGTAAAACATGCTCGATTTGAACAATGACTGATCTGTAAAATACCATGTGTATTCGAGATATCAGAATTAGTTGACACAATTCCTTTCAATAATGGCATGTGTTCACAGAGGCTTCTTTTCTATCCCAGTAATGCAGTTGTTCAGAAGTACACAATAGACAATCTTTATCCTTTTAAGGTCAGCTGTATTTTTTGGTCAACAGATGTTGGTTGCAAATTTAGATGATTTAAAACATACACATTAATCTGTTAAGTGTCATAGTTTTTGCGAGTATCTTTCTAGAATTGTTTTTTGGTAAATCTTGACCAAATACCTGTAGATTGTAATCTTAATTATTGAAAAAAATATTTATATAATCATGCATATTTATAATGTGAAAAGTGACAAAAGCTGATCTGTGTTTCGTGGACACATTTATTCACTGTAACATCGTAATATGAATGTACTACGTTTATCAGGCAACATTTTTTTCAGTTGTTTCGATAGCAGATCGTGATAAACAGTATCAACTTGTAAAACTGGTTTGAACATATTTTCGAGTTTATTCTCTATTTTGTTGTATATTGCTGTCAGAAAATTAGACAGGGCTAAAAATAATCCTCTGACCAGATGAATAAAATAATCCGGGACATGATACTATACATTTTTGGAATCTATTATCAGTATACTGCACAGCTTGGCTACGATGGATTATGTCAAAGTGCTGATTAACATAGGCAAGAATAGGCTCCGAGTCTCTTAGTGTGGATGAAAATAAAGTACCACACAAAAGGCAGGTCAGGCACTAGTGAGAAAATAACTATTACCATTCCTTGTTGTATAGGTGATGTAAACGTTCCTTTGTCATATAAAGGAAATACAATATACTTTCGTGGTAAGAGAGTCTTGGACTTATTACTAGACTATCTTATGGATAAGGGTCTTAGCAGTGCTGATAGGGTTATATTGAGCGGAATGTCTGGTGAGTTTTTTTTTTTCCTCTAGATATTGAAGGCTATATTTTATTTTGTATAATTATACTTTTATATAATTATTAGATTTAATTATACTTCTCTAGATAATCAGAGTGGCGACCACAATGAATTGTGTTGACTGTATTTCCTTTCTTCCCATACAGCTGGAGGTCTTGCAGTATATATACATGCTGATTATATCCGAAATAAATTCCCACCACAAACTGCATTCCATGCTTTCCCAGATGCTGGTTACTTTCCCGATGTCAAAAATATCACAAATCACGATCATATTAAGGAGGCTTTTCAAAATGTCATCCGTCTACAAGGAATTGAAAGTAAGAATATAAACAAAATTTGAAACAAACATTTTGGTAAATTATATTATAAATCAATAATGACATATTTAGTTGAATATACCGATTAGTATAATACATCGCCATGCTCGATTTAATAAAGTATCTAAGCCAGATAGTTTGCAAACCGAAATGTGGTGTGGTCAACACAAGTTAATTCGCAGGGCTTGCAATGTGATAAGATAAATTAACATTTCTTAGTTGTTAGTTAAGTATGATCAATATAAGTAATGGTAGCTTTCATGAGATAATGTTTAAAGGATTCTAACGGCATGTTTTCACATCTGTGATTGTTTCACAGATATTCTTTTTGACAAATGTTGTTCGCTCCGTTAAAATTAACGCGTTAGTTCTAACAAGGGGATGTCATATAATCGAAGCTAACTCAACTATTACGCATTTGGTAATATATTATATTTTAATCGTCTCTCGTTCATTACAGATAATTTGAATACAGCTTGTTTGGCAGACCAAGACATAAATAGCAAATGGAAGTGTTTCTTCCCCCAGTATACATATCCTTATGTTACGACACCCATGTTTGTACTCAACTCAGCCTACGATATCTGGTCTCTCTGGTATATCCTGAACGTTCGGTGCCATATATCTGCGTGCGACAAAGACAATTTACACCATCTAACGTCATACCATGATCAGTTTATGCAAATAGCTGAACCAATTTACAAGTCCACTAAAGCTGCTATTTATACCTCATCCTGCTTTAGCCACGTGCACACACTGCAAAATACAGAGTGGACAAAACATCTCGTGAATGGAACAACTCCTGTGGCGGCATTTGGTGATTGGTATTTTGGCCGTAAAACTGTACAGCAATCAAAGTACTGGGACTGTGCAACACCAGCCTGCAATCCTACATGTGATTGGACGCTGAACACATTTATGTACTTTGCTTCATCCAATAGTAAATACGACTTTTAGTGCACATCGTCTAATGTATCCCTTGGTGGATCTATGTTTTAAGTGAACAACATTCATTTTCTGCGAAATATAATGTGGAGGATATTGCCTATACTGTAACAATACTTTAGTGTGTGGTTGGGATAGTTTGTTCTCTAAGAATTATGCAAATAATAAAACACGAATTTTCGGCGGAGTGGTATAGGTATATAAATATATATGATAATGTTATATTTCATAGCCCGATCAGCCAATCAGATTCGCGCAGTTAGTGGTCAATATATAATGTGTATTGACTTCTCAGAAGTTAAAGATGTAGAATTAGGCTTATGCGCTCGGAAGACGTTGATCTAAAATGCTCGTTGATGTTTGTCGGAGTTTTCCGTCAGGGAATTACCTTTCATTTGTAAACAATACCTGCTCAACAAGATATTTTGCCATACTTTGGTCGAGTTATGTTCTATGTGAATACTTGTAATGATAGTCATCGAACAACACGACTTTATCGTGTACGTAACTTACACTAAAAACTTGAATTTCACACGTATTTCTGGATTAGTTAACGCCGTGTAACGACATATAGTTATTCTATTCGTCAGGGTACTTTTATTACTCGTTGTTTAATGTAAACACATGTTGGGTTTCATTAAATTGCTCATTTAACCAGAAATGTGTTATATTGGGTTTTATTTTGGTCCAGTGCTGTTTTGCAGTTTTTTGTCTGTGTGCGAGCACGTCATGTTTAAACGTGGCAGCTTCTGAAATGTCAAAGGGTCGCCCGTAGCAAGTTGATACCTACAATCGACATTTTGGAAGGTATTATGGAATATAAATACATACGAACCATTGGAAGAGTGATGAAACAGCTACTTGTGAATGGAGAAAATTCTGGATGTTGTCATTGGCGGGACAATGCAGTCTTTCAAAAAATGTTTTTTGTTTGTTTGTTTTTTGGTATAATAATACAATATTGACTCCAGCCTC